ATGTCTGTATTGTTATTAAAGCTGTACAAACAGGGAAAATAGGTCAGTGGAAAGTTCGGGAAATTTAATTCTTTAGGAATGTGGACACCCTGAGTGTACAGAAGACATCAATAGGGTTTAGTGACTCAAAAAAGGTTGAGAACCACTGTATGATGAGAGGATTATGATAACATATCAATTATGATAACACTGATTTCTCAGTATTGGGGCTTTCAGAGTGATTCTCACAAAATTGGTCACAAAAAGTATTCTTGCATTTCAACCTATATCTTTTGATAAGTTTCGTGTGGATGTAATACTGTAAAATGTTTCAAGAATGAAAGCATCTTAACTTGTGAGCAAATGACATGACCAAGAAACTCTTAATAACATATAGGACTTTATCATCTACTAAGGGAGATTGTTTTGTACATAGAGCAGTTTTGGGAAAATTCCAACAAATTGAGAGTATTATCAGGAGAGCTGAAGAGAATTGGAGGTTCTAACAGCATTGAGATTATTTAGAAGTACTTGCCCAGACATTGCAGAAGTCAAACTCAGATGGATTGGTACTCTTATCATTAACAACAGAAAATGTGTTATACTTTACATTTAAATTACTTGAAAAGACAAGCACACACAAGGACATGGGTTCTTGGCTGATGTATATTTAATACATATTCCTTATGAATTAGGTCTTTGATGATCATGGCATTTGAGTCTATCTTGTGAAACAAATTATTCTATTGTTTCTTTACTTTTCCCCATTGTTTCCTACTGGAATCTCAAAATTCTTTTTCAAATTAGCTATTTGTCCTTTTCAACTTTGCCTTTTTATTAACCATTTTGAGGGTTGAAGTTTATATATATATTTTTTTTAATTATGCTCATATAGTTTACATTTGGTTAACAGAGCTCAGTACCCGGGAGGCTAAAGTGTCGGGCATTCGAGAAGCTTTACAAACTCTCCCAGCGGCACACCTGTCCACTCTCAAGGTCATCATCATGCATCTTGCCAGGTGAGTCCATTGCAGATCTTCATTGACCTTCCACCTCCTTTTGCCTTTTAATTTTTCTTACGATTGTAGTTTTTATAACACTAGATTTGTTATTTGTTATTTATTTATTTGTTTATTTATTTTTTTTTTTTTTTTGTGGGGTGGGGAAACTACTTTAAAGATGATTGTAATAATAATAGTGATGGCCCCCTACTATATATTATTCTTATCATTGTCTTTATGATAATATTCATGATGGTTAATAAAATCAACAATCACAGAAATTATTTAGTTAAAATGGTCACAATAGTAGTAGTAGTAACAACAGTAATGATAATAATGAAAATGCTAATAATGATGAAAATAATAATAGTAATAATAATAGTGATAATAATAGTAATAATGGTATTGATGTTAGCATTAAAAGAAATAATGATAATATTAGTAATAATGATAATAATAATAATAGTAATAATAATAATAATAATAATAATAATAATAATAATAATGATAATAATGATAGTAATTATGATAATAATGAAACTAATAATAACAAAATAACAGCAACAACAATAGTATTAATAATTGAATACTATTATGCAATGTATATATATATATATATATATATATATATATATATATATATATATATATATATATATATATATATATATATATATATATATATGTACATATACATATATATATATATACATATATATATATATATATATATATATATATATATATATATATATATATATATATATTTTTTTTTTTTTCTTTCTTTCTTTCTTTTTTGTAAACTAAGCATTTATACTCATGCATATAGACAGCATATAAGGGTTTCAAGACCCTTATTTTTCAAAAAGTGAAACTCCAGTTTTGCTCTTTGATAGTTTCACTTGGATGAACCTTCACTGGCTCACACCTTACAGCTTACAGATATGATGTGTGATATATGATGTGTTGAATACATCTTGCCTTATTCTGACTGACAGTCTATTCTTTAACGCTTCATATGCACTTTTCCAAGAATGGTGTTGACTGATCATTCATGTAGTAATATTTGATTCCCAATTTTAAGTTACAGCAATTTGACTACTTGGAATCCTTTTCTTAAAAGTGCAAAACTTACTGCATTTAGTTGCTGCAGTCAATGAACAGATAAGCATTCTGAGTATGACTATGTTGACTGATGTTATCAATATCATTAATATTATTACTGCAATCATTATTAACCCTTGGCGTCATAGACTTCGGTGTTTTCTGGTAACTTTCCTGTCATTGGGAGCGGGAGTTTGCTACATGTAGCGGAACTTCCCGCTCAACGCACTCTAGTGTGTCACCATGCATGTAGCCATACCCGACAGATCAAGTGGTTTTGTAGTTGTAGTAATAATAATTATAATTACCATGATGATGAGGACGATGATGGTGGTAGTATAAATAGTAATTGTGATAATGAAACTGATGATAATGATAATAACAATAATAACATTTATACCAACAATGATGATAATAATGACATTACAAATGACATATAAGAATACTACTTTTGATACTTGTGAATATCATTTTCATATTGAAATGTTAAAAATAATAGTATGAAGTTACAAAAAATCATAAATTACATATATATATTACAATTCTAATAAGTGTTTTTCTAAATGTAATCTTGAGAATAAAATATTTTGAAATGTTTTCTAAGAATAGATAAAACTATATATGAGAATAGGGGAGGAAGGGTGAGAGAGAGAGAGCCTTTGGTCGGGAAGTGAAAAGAAAGGTAAGCCAATCTGGAAGCTGTTTTACATACACTGATATTCAGCACCACCATTGTTTTGTTAGAAATGATTAGGTAAAAATGATATTGTGAGCACATAATTTAAATAAATAACTACCTTCAACAATATTTCAGATATTTCGTAGAGTTACATCATATTTTATACTATGGATGCCTACAATGCTGGTGTCTAGAGATTGCAAGATTTAACATTTATCCTCTTTTTTGGTGTGTGTTTTTTCTTGGATTATAAAGGTCAGATTCTGATAATGATTGTTACAATGGTCACTTATTTGATCAGGTGTTAGTTTATGTAATTATTATGTATTGACGTTGTGTTTCTTGGCAACCTCACATAATGCATTGCTTCCTGGTGTAGAAGACCTTTCATGTGATCCTGTATGTTCCCTCCTGGCTTCGATAGGCTACCTGGAACTACGCACTGACTCCCAATGTGGCTTATCCACTTAATTATGTAATTCATCAGAGGAAATAAAGTATTTACACATAAATAAGGTAAAGCAAACAAATTCATTAGATGTGAAGAACAGAATTCTCAATTTAATTAAATTGTTCCTTCATTACTGATCTTGACAAAAGTAGGTAATGAAATGTTCTGAGAGGGTTAAACAAAAATGGTGATTTTTTTTATTTTCAGCTTATGCACTGTTGAAGTAGAAGGATTTTTTTCTTTCCGATTGTAAATTTTCCTCTTTCCTCCACAGAGTTTGTGACCACAGTGCTGTCAATAAGATGACAGCTACCAGTCTGAGCACAGTGTTTGCTCCCACCTTGGTTCAGTCAGCCGTGCCGGGGGAAAACATACAGCCAGCGGATTTGTTAGCAATGGCCAACTCAGCTCAAGAACCAAGAGTTGTCGAGGTTCTTGTGGTCTACCACCGTGACATTTTTCTATAGTTCCTGTTTGTAGGTGGATGGTAAAGTATTAACTATTTTCACAGTGATATTTCCTTAGAACTGATTATGAAATACTTATTTCAGTGATGGTCGTAAGGTAGATTAAAGAATTGTTTTTTTTAGTAGACAGAAAACATCATAACTTTTTTATGAACATTGTATAAGTATGAGTAGTCAATTACTGTGATTTCTTCATAAGCTATTGTACTTTATGATGACTTAGTAACACTGACCAGTAACATGACACCTATGATACACCGACTCTGATGTCATGATAGCTTTAGTAGGTTTTTGGTTGGCTGAAGTCAAAAGAGAGTTTGCCATCTGAGCCTGTGTACCAGAGTGTTGGTGCCTTTTATGTGGAATCAAAAAATTGATCTGTATGACACAAGTCCATTGTGCCGAGATAGAAAGAGAATGAAATGATTTTTGCCTTTCTTCACATTTCAGGTTTAAGTGTTCTTTACTGTGATGTGTTTCCATCACAGGTGATCAAATTTGTAGAACAAGTGTCTTTTCACATCAAGCATCTTGATTTTTTGCTTGCTGATATGATATTATATTAATCCAAGAGAGATGTAGTGATAGGTGCTGACTTATAGCAAATTATAAAGCAGTGAATATTGCTTATATTTTAGTGGTTTGATAGCTTATGTAGGGTCCCTATATCTATATATTGATTAGTGTGTTACAGCTTTTAATGTCAGTTTTTTATGCATTTAAACATTATTTTAGTTTATGTAGTGTGTGCAGTATGCACTTAAAGAAAGTTTTATAGTGGATTTTTTCAGGGAAAAATAATGAAAAAAAAAATCATTGACCTTTATATATTGACAATCATATTTCTAATTCCTTTTAGACAGCTGTTAATTTGTACTGCATTTCTTCTCAAATTTCATTATTAATTCATATATTCGTCTACTTTGACCAGTGTTTATTGAAGAGCTTTGTGCCTTTATGGTTTTCACAAACTTCAAAAACAATTGTCTGTTTTTGCTTCTCTCTCTTAGCTCTTCCTTCTCTTCTCCTCCACCCCCTCCACTCCTCCAACCCCTTCATTCCTCCATCCCCTTCACTCCTCCACCCCCCTCCCCTCCTTCACCTCCTACACCACCTCCTCCTTTCTCCTTTCTCATTTCTCCTCCTCTTCTTCTTCTTCCTAATTTTCCTCTTCCTCCTCCTCCTCCTCCTCTTCCTCCTTCTCCTTCTCCTTCTCCTCCTCCTCCTCCTCCTCCTCCTCCTCCTCCTCCTCCTCCTCCTCCTCCTCCTCTCTGTAATCCTTCCCCTGCTTTTATATCATTATATATATGTATGAGCAGTTCAAGAAATGCAGAAAAAAACCCATAAAGCTGGTAAAGACAACTCCATAGTCAATGGCAGAGAAGGAAAGAAAAGAACAGATATTATAGTCTGGTTCTATAGATCTTTGAAGAAATTTCACCCTTCCAGCTTCCGAATTAGGTGTAGCATTAGCGTTAAGATCTTGCACCCCAGCTAGAGTTAAACGACTCTCATTCCGTCCATTGCAGAAGGAAAGAAAAAGGAAAGATATTTTATTGCTGTCTTTTGTAAGCAGGGTTGGGGTATTAACCTGTTGTCACTGGAGGACATGTATACATACACTGTCCACTGTGTCTTTGTTTTTTCTATTGATGTGTTTTATAGGTAAATGGTTCTATCACCAAGTCAGTTGCCAATTAATGCAGAAATCTATAGACATTTTATACACACACACGCACACGCACACGCACACACAAACAAACAAACACACACACACACACACACACACACACACACACACACACACACACACACACACACACACACACACACACACACACACACACACACACACACACACATAAATAAATATATTTGTTTTATAGCTGGTGTAAACTTCAGGGCATGAAAGAAAATACATGTTTTTTGCATAACCTTGAGTGATATGCTGGAGCTGTAAAGGCAGAGAACACTGATGAGACTCTTCCAGAAATATGATTTCATTAATGGTGGAGAATGGGAACCTTGAGTAATTAATTATTAATCAAGTAGAACTAATGTAAGAATGTTGGAGGCACAATGAATCATTGGATCATTTTATGTTTATAGATGCAGGTGAAAGACATAATGTCGTAATGAAAGTACAGGGATCATTGCATCAGTTGCATGTTGCAGACCAAGACTAGAAGATACAAAGCAGCTTTAAATAACAAAAATATTGCAAAATTAATGTGTGTAAAGAATAAAGGAAAATAATAGACTACTTAACAAAAGAAGGTTATATTTCTACAGAAGGCAAAAGTGGTAATAGGGAAATATATTTACTATCAACGGAAAGGTTTGCTACTTAAGAATGGACAACTGAAATGCATTTTGAATTTTAAGTGTCTTTCTTTTGATTAATTAACGGTTATGGGACCTTACTCTTGGTCACAACATTGCACAATTTTTAATATGAGCACAAATTAATTCCTTTTTTTATTTTCTTGAGCTGCGTGCACAAGAAATGCCTTAGAATTTCTTGTATTTTCTTTTTCTTTTTTGATGTATGAATCTAAACTCAGCACTGCCATTGAGAATCTGTCTTTCATGTGTTGTTGATTTTATAGAATTGATATTCACAGAAGATGAGTGGCCTTTCTTGTATAGTTTTAATAGATTAGCACTGTTCACAATTAATATGCTGTGAAACACCTACTATGCCATGCAATGAGCAGTATGTGTCAGTATATATAGATTAAGACAAGAACTTTAATGTGTGAAAATGGAATATGTTTTGCTATAGTAAAATCCCTTTTTGAAAGTGGAGACATATTTATTCTGGTAGCTGGTCAGCTCAAGAGGTCACCAGTGGTGTAAAGTAATGAGCTGTTAGAAAAAAAGTTGTTGAATTGTTGATTGATAACAGCTATTATAGGATTATGTAATCTGAGCTTAGTACTCAAAGCTCCTGTATTTTATATTTGCATAAGTAGGCAGTTAATTTTTCTCAAACTGATGTCATTATAATAACATTATACTGAAATGAGTTGTATGATTTATATTGTTTATTTCATATTCTGATGTACTTTTTACCAGATTGTTTATTGTCCGAATTAAATGTAAATTAACTGACAAATGAGACAGGGTTCACAGACATCATTCACATAGTGTATATTCCAAGCTCTTTGAGGCTGTTGTTGATAGTCCAATGCAAAGGAGAGTAAGGATATAGATAGGCTTCTAGGACTGGCAAGGGACACATACCTCTCAAGTAAAGGAGAAGCACAGAGGAATCAAAAGAATATTTTCCATTCTATATTTACCTGCAGTTTTCAAGAAATGCAATACAATATTACATCAGGCACTACGGCAGGTGCATTATAGGGGTATATGTGTGTGTTCCTTCCACCTAGTCTTCCCATTATGCTTACTCTACAGTGAAAATTATGAATCCTGATTTTGAGTTGTCATAAGTGATGCAAGAGGATATACTTACTTGTAGTGCAATTCTGGGTCTACTGCACCAGATATTTAATGGTGATTAATTTGCTTAGAAGTATTAATTGGTATCATTTTATTAACTTTTCATTGTAATTGTTCATTTACTATTTTTTTGAGGGGAAGAGGATGCAAGAGAGTAATTGAAAATATGAATTACTTTCTTTGTTGTTAAATCTCTGTTATCCTTTCCTTTATATATATGTACATAGATATGTGTATATATATATATATATATATATATATATATATATATATATATATATATATATATATATATATATATATATATGTATATGTATATTTATATATGTACAAATATATTTATATATGTACATA